CCTGATAGGCTGGGCCTGGCTGGGCTGTCAGCATAAGCAGGCCAGACTTGCTTCTCCCCGGGTCTTAGCACCTTCCTCCATCAATCAAGTTCACCCAGCACTGGCCATCCATTACCCAGTTTGATCCTTGAATGAGTCACTTCCCCTAGGTTACTACTCTTTTGTTTTTTAATTTATTGATGTCTTTTGATTTTCACATCCTCGTCATTTGCCCCAGTATCTCTTTCCTTTCCCCTCCCAGAGTCATCCCATCTAAAAAATAGTTTTTCTCTGAAGTCAAAAATAAAGAAAAAGAAGAGAAAAAAATCAACACAACCGATCAATACATTGAAAAAGTCTGAAAATGTGCACCATGGAACTGTTGTCCCCTCCCACCTCCATGAAGGTGGGGACGGTGAGGACCTTGTTCTTCTGTAAAGTGAGGGGGTGGGACCATGGCCCCTTCCAGCCCCAAACCTATCCCCCTTTTAACAAAGGTGAGTGCTATGGTCATCTTTAAAGGGAGGCTCGCTGGCAGTAATGCCAGTTAGCCAGCCTTTCCCAGCTCCCCTGGCTGCTAGAGCCTCACTCCTGAGCTTACATGGTATTTATGTTGTCTGTTTTATGTGCGTGCCTGTTTCTGTCAGGGACAGAATGTAATACCCTGAAGGGAAAAGGCTCTTCCACTTTTGTCTGTGGCTCCCCAGTACCTGGCACACAGTAGGTCCTTCAGAAATGTTCATTGCTGGTCAGCTGGCTGGGCTAAGGGTCCAAAACTCACTGGAAGGGCACTGGCCCGGAGTCATCAGACTTGGGCTCACATCCCGGGTCTGCGGCTTGCTCTCCGTGTGTCTTGGGGAGAGACCTTTGCCCTCTCCAGGCCTCATTTCCCCCACCTCTAAAATGGTGAGGCTGAACCAGATGCGCCCTCAGCTCTCTCAGTCCTCTTGAGGTCAAAGACCCTCTGCTCCTGGTAGGGCCCTTCCAGCTTTAAGCTTCTGGGACTCTGTTTAGGATTCTGTCGGGATAAGGTGAGATCAGAGCAGCTTTGAACCCCACTCTCACAGAACTTCTAGTATAGCGGGGAGATAATGACACCCCTGAACCCCAACACTGCCTGACCAGTGCTAAGCGTAGTGATAGGATGGGGCTTGTGCTCTGGGATGCAGTTTGAGACCTGGTGCCAACCCCCAGCCAAGACCCCGGAGAGAGCAAAGTGGAGAGTCAGGGGCAGGGGTCCTGCGGCATCCTGACAGTAAGGGGCTTGAGGAAGCGCTTTTCCAATCAGCGCATCTCAAGATGTGTAAGACCACATCTGGACAAGTAACCTCAGGGTCCTGGGCACTTTGAGAGGAAGAGAAAAAACGCCCTAGGAAGATGCAAAAACAATCTCGTTGTATCAGGCGAAATAAGTGTCTCTCGTCTTGTCCAGTGATTGCTCTTCTGTCAAAGGGCTCCTCTGCTACTCCCATTCGTTCTTAGCTGAAAAACCAGCTCATTGACAGCTTGACTCCCCACAGGGTCACTTTCGGTTTTATTTGAGAAATCCCCCCAATGAAAATGTCAAATGGAGAGGGATCCTGGCTCCCCCCCCCATCCAGGAAGAATTTGGCCCCTTTCCAGGACAAACTCTTCAGCCGGAGATCGCCCTGAGAAAAAGCCATTGGCTTTATTAGAGTAAAAGGGGGAAGCTGGAAAAAAGAATAACCTTGAAGCCACTAGCCTCACCTCACCAAATTAGTCTGGAAATACTTTTTCAATTTATTGGAAGGATGGTCAGCACTTTTGTGACTAGCCATCAGCTGCAACAGGTCCAGCTGAGGCTCTCAAGCAAAGGTTCCATCAGCGTGGACCTAGGATTCCAGAAATACATAAGCTAGACATGCGCCTCCTGAATTCTATCTGGGGGTGACAGGAAGGTAAAAGTGGTAAATAGTGGGTGATTGTGGGGTAATAATGAAGATACGGGGAGGCCTCTGGTTATCTCCGTACAGTGGAAAGAGGATTTCGAGTCAAAGGCCCAGGTTCCAATCCCATCTCAGTCACCTGGGTAACCTAGGGCAAGTCACTGACTTTCTGGGCCTCAGTCTCCTCATATGTAAGCAGGAGGGGGGAGAGCTGGAATGAAGAGCTTCTAAGGTCCCTACAGAAGTTGAACCACAGGTGGTTTGAAATGGAAGCATCGTTAAAGATGATTCCCTCATCTATACCTATTGAGATCATTCTCTCCTCTAGGCCCAACAGGGGGCCAGATCCCATCTCTTCATCCAGAAACCTTCCTTCATCCTGTCCTCTTCCTAAATAAAAATATTCCCTCCCTCCTCCAGTGTCCCCAAGTCACTGTCCTTTGCTCCCAGCACACAGACTTTGCATCATCTTTTTCTATGTGCGTGATGTAAGTTCCTTGAGGGCAAGGACTGAGCTCTGTTTCATCTTTGTACCCCAAACAACATATAACAGAGGTTTGAGGAACTGCATTGGGGTGGGGAGTCCAGTCCTCTCACTTTATAGAAGAGGGCGGTAAGGAGAAGGGTCACCTTGCCTAAAGTCACCCAGCTGCTGACAGTGAGTCAGAACCTCATCCCAGATTTCCTGAATCTTTTAATTCCAAATCTGTCTGATCTTTGTCCTGCTCTCTTTTCTAGGAGCACAAAATGGGATTTGCTTCCAGGGTGAAAGTACCTCTCACCTCATGAAGCAGCAGCTTGGCACTAATGTGCCAGGAAGGAGGGTTACTACCCTGGGGCTGGGCATGGGGGAGGCATCTCATAGACGCTCTTGTACAGCCTAGGAAAGGGAGTCAGCTTGGGGCGAGAGTCAGAGGGTTTCTATGTTTTTTTCTATTAAGATTAACTGCATCTCTCTGCATGCTCTAGTTCTGCCCTCTAACAAAGAAGACAGCAGATCCCTCCCTATTTGATAGCTGTGCAGTCATGAAGGCTCCTTGTGTCTGGTTCTTTCAGATGATTCCCACATGGCCCTAGGGCCTGCCCCATCCGAGGTGTCCTGGTCTGTGCCCTCGAGAGCTTGTCAGCATCCTTCCTAAAAGGCAGCCCCCAGACTTGACCCCAGCACTCTAGACATGGCATGACCAGGGCGAGTGAGGACAGGGAGGAAGCTTTGACTTCCTTCATGCCACCTAAGATCCTGTGGCTTTTCTTGGCTGCCACATCGCCCTTGGGGGAGCTTAAACTCACACACGAGAGAGCTATCAAGTGAATGTCCAACTAGCCGTGCCTCGGGGGGCACCTCAGTGTGACGGGAAGCCTCGCCCACCCTGGCAAGCCCAGTTAGGAGGGATGGCAATAGCCAGGTAAGAGACGGTGAAATCTGGTGATGGGCAGAGAAAGAGCACGGGCATGAGACACTGTGGAGGGTTCCATCTTCCTAAAGCACGAGCCTTGAGCCATCAAGATGCCTCCATGACTCGCCCCTGGCTCTAGCATAAAACACAGGCTCCCCATTTGACACGGAAAGACCTTTACAATCTAGCATGCTGTTCTCCCTCATGTATCCAGTGTTCCAGCAAAATGGGGCCTCCTTGCTGTTCCCCATCCTCAGCATTCCACCCCCTATTTGCAAGGATTATCCCAGGCTGTTCCCCTGCCTGGAATGTGCTGCCTCCTCCCTTCCATCTCCTGGAACCCCTTCCCAGCCTTCAGATCTCGGCTTCTCATGGGAAAAAATGCCCTTGCCGGGTTCTGGTGCCTCACCCAAGGCTGCCGGATGTGCCAAAGACTTCACTTGCTTTCACTTATCTGCATGGGTCTCTCCTCTGTAGACTCTAAGCTCCCTGAGGGGAGGACTACCTTGTTCCGTGTCTTTGTTTTCCTAGCCTAGCACAGCACCCTTACACTGTAGTTTGTTCACGATGCCTGTTAAATCGAATTACATTCCTTTACAGAAATCTGCCTTCTTGCCATGCCAGGCCTTGGTGGAGGCTGCCCCATCAAATTCATCCCTCAGACCGCCGACAGTGGCCACGGCGCCCCTTGCCCATCAGACTAAGCGGAGCCAGCTCCTTTGCCGATTTTCAGACGGCAGAACCCCGTCCCCACCCCCGCCCCTGCCTTCCTCGGGGCTCTCCTCCGGGTGTTCTAGTTTGCCGTTGCCCTTCCAGGTAGCTTCTCGGCCTTTGCAGTTTCTCTTAGGAGAAACCACAAACATTTTCTCCTAAGTTTCTTCAAGCCTGGCTTGAACATCTGGAGGAAGCTCTAAAGGCAATGAATCAGAATAAAGTGGCTTGGCTGGAAGTAGGATTGAGAGAAGCAAAGGGGGCCACCTTCTGCCTCAGACAGTGTGAGCCAGGGTGGGCTGCCAGCCAGGAGCAGCGTCCACAGCTCACCAGCCACAGACTGGTGATCCCCCCCCCCACTCTAGATTTTAGTAGGCTGTGCCACGGTGTCTGGGACACCTTTGGCTAAGTCCACTCTGTCCTGTGGGCTTCCGCTGCCGGCTTTGGAAAATGAAGCAGTTGGTCTAGAAGATTCTGTTCTAAGGCCCCTCCCGGCTCTGACCTTCCCTGTTCTAAGGCCCCTCTTGGGTCTACATGGGCCCATTCTTGGCCAATTACACCATTCTCTGATGTCTCTACACTCTAAGGAAGGCCATCGCCAGTTGTCCTGATCTATATCTGGCCACAGGATCCGTTTGGCTCCAGAGGACACAGTGAGGCTGGTGACCCTGCACAGCCCTGCCTCACTTCAGTCCAGCTCACTTGGGTGTCATGGCATCGCCTCCCTGATGTCTCCGTCCTCTTGGAGAACACAGGACAAACAACAGCGCCCCAGTGCCATCACAGATGTGTCAAGGACACATCGTCACTGTCCATCCACTACAATCTTAAATGGCCTCTTTTATTTCCCTAGTTGGCTCCCAAGCATTCCCAGTTCACTTTGCAGAGCTCCCTGGGCTGAGGCCACGTTTTCCTATCACACTGATGGTGACACCTTGAGCCGAGGCCAGGGGCCAGTGTGGACACGCCGAGCATGGGCCCGGCCCAAGGACTCATCCTCACTCACCCAAACAGTTGTGACCATCGTGAGCCAGCATGAAGCCATCGTAGCAGGTGCATCTGTAGTTCCCTGGGATGTTGATGCACTCGTGGACACAGCCACCATTGTAGTAATCGTTTTCACATTCATCTATGTCTGCAACACAGAGAACATGGGGGAGGGAAAGAAGGGAGGTGTCATCAAAGGGCTTAGCACAGAGTTCCACTGACTGCAGACCTGGGGTGGGGGTGGGGCATGGGAGAGAGAACCAGACCTGGGACTCTGACTCTTCTGAATTCCGTGACCCTGGCACGTGATTGTACCTTTGAGTCTCGGTTCCTTCACTTGTAAAATGGGGGAATCGGTGTGAAAGCTCTCTGTCACTCATAAAATGCCATGGGTTGTCATTGTGTTGATCATTACCATTGGGAAAAGGAAGGGAATAAGCATTTATTAAGTGCCTACTATGTGCTAATGCTTTACAGATGTCTCACTTGATCCATTGGGCAGCACAGTGAAGGGGACAGCAGGGAAAGAGGGAGTGCCTCCCAAACGCCAGGAGGGTTCCTCTATCCCACTGCAAGTTATTCCCTATAGACGGATCCCTGACCCTCCACCATTACGGCTTGTTTTCAGTTACCAAATGCCCCTGGATAGGATAAATAGAATAAGTAGAAGTCATCAGCATGGCAGAGTTGGAAGGGAGGGACCTCAGAGGCAGTCATGTCAACCCGAGTTGGGGTCCTTGTTACACCATTCCCTGCTAGCGCTCCTGCAGCCTTTGTTTGAAGACCTCTAGAAGAGCTCCTTCCCTCCCCAGGTCCCCCATTTCCCTTGGGGGCAGCTCTCGGCATAAGAAATCCTTTCCATGTTGTTGTCGTTGATGTTGTTTAATCATTTGGGTCACGTCCGACTCTTTGTGACCCCATTTGGGGTTTTCTTGGCAAAGAGAATGGAGGAGTTTGCTATGTCTTCCTCCGGCTCATGTACTGAGGCAAACAGGGTGAAGTGACTTGCCCAGGGTCCCACAGCCACGAAGTGTCTGAGGGCAGGTTTGAACTCAGGAAGATGAGTCTTCCTGACTCCAGGCCTGGCTCTACCCAACGTGCCCCCCAGCTGCCCCTCACAACAAACAAAAATCTGCTTCTCTGTGACTCTTCCCGAACTGACCCTAATTCTGTCCTTGGAGCCACATGTGAGGTCTGTTGGACCTGAATTTTTACCTTCATTTTACATATCAAAGAATTAATTAATAAGCAAGCATGCATTGAAGAGGAAGACAGAATGTCTCACACTCCTCCATTGATAGCTATCATCTCCTCACTGCTTTACCCCAACTCTGCTCGTCTCCAGGCTAAACAGCTGTACTTCCATCATTGGAGCTTCATGCTGCACAATCCCTACTTTCTTCACAGTCCCAGTTACTCCCCTTTGTGGAGCTGAGTGCTGAGCACCACGTGATCTGCCCCAGACAGAGGACAGCCCACTCACTCACTGCGCTCCCCTTTGGCTTTCTGGGCTGTGTGCCTTGCATGGAGCCCCAGATCACATGAGCTGCCTTGGCCACCCTGACCCTCTGCTGATGCATCATCCCGTCAGCATTTCTACCTGCCTTTTGAGTCAGGGGACTTGGGTCTGAACCTGCATCTGCCACTTGTCCTTGGGTGACCTTGAGGAGCTCCCTTCCTTTCCTCCTTGTCTCCTCAGTCTCCTTGTCTGTAAAACGAAGGGAGGGAGGCCTCCATTTGTCCCCCTTCCCCGCCCCCCAGGAAGGATCTGAAAAACTCATTTTCACTGAGATGAATAGGATCATAGAATGTCCTCTGACCTTGGGGAACTTCTCATCCAACTCCCTTGTTTTACAGAGGAAGACACTGAGACGGAGAGAAGTTTGTCTGAAATGATGGGGGATAGTGAATGGAGGGAGCTTTTCAAGCCAGCTCCAGTCAGTGAAAGTCCAACCTGCTGTTTACAACAGCAAGTGAGTGGGAAGGATGTTCTAGGTGGACAGAACAATGTGGCCAACAGCACAGTGCAGGGAAAGTGCAAGCATCGCTATCACTATCAAATACCTGGCATTTCTGGCTCATATTGGCCAGGTCTTTTAAGGCGAACAAGCCCCTTTGCATACATTATCCCATTAGCCATCAAGTTACAGTAACACTGGGAGAGGGTCATTCGTATGCATATGGTTAAAGAAGCTGCTGGTTGAAAGGTCATGGTACGGGTAATGGGAAGATCTTGATCCAAATCCCACCTTTGCCCAGGTGTTAACTACCATGATCCTGAACAAGGAAAGTGGTTGTACCCAACTAGATATGCCAGAGGAAATCTAAAGTACAAGAGACATTGGAGGGACTGATTTTTCACATTGTCCTTCACCTCTATGGATTTGCATTCTCAATCATTTATTCTCTTTGGTGAGACCTGCCACCAGGGATTCACGTTTTTCCATTCTGTCCTTTTTTTTTCTGCTGTGAAGTCCTGAGATTCTGCTTTTATAATTCCTACTTCTTTTTTAAACCATTCAGGAACATACTACAGTGGTTCCATGCCCTCTTGGGAACCCATAAGGTCCTCTGCCTCAGTGATTATTGATTCGTTTTCCTCTGTCTCACAATATTTATTTGTAGCTGTCTGGACTCTTTTACCTGATCTGGAGGCCAAGGTCCTTTCTGTTATTAATGTCTACCCTATTGGTTTGTCTGCCCATTGTCAAAGTCTTTCACTGAGTTCCTTTCCTCCTGGAATCTTTGGTAATTTGGGTCTCTTCCTTTCCTTATGTCACTCATGTCCTGACTCCTCCCTTTTGGAGACAGTGTCCCTCAGGGCTGAAGCTCAAAGTCATCTTGGTCTCATGGTTCACTAGTTAGGTCTCTGCTCTGAGTGCCTTCTTGGGGACTGTGGCTGGCCCCAGCTGGCTTTCCCTCAGGCTTAGTAGAGTGCCACCTGTGCCCACACACATGCTTCTGGTTCCCTCTTTGCCAGTTCTCTTGCTGAGCTCTGCTGTGGCACAGAGTACTGTTGTGCAAGCTCCTGCCTTTTGGATTTCCAAGTCAGTTAGGAAGGGTGGAAGGGGTGTAGACTTGAGTGTTGTTGCAAGCCTGTGGGTTGGCGTGCCAGCCCTGTTGCCCCAGCCTGGTGGCAGCGGGGGAGAGGGTGCTGAGTGAGCATGAAAGGAGTAGGGAATGTTAACTTTCTCTCTTGCTAGTTCATCTTTTTTTGTAACTTTGTTAAATCCGACTTTGTTTGGATTCTTGGTGTCCTAGATCAGTTAGACAGCTAAATCTTTATCTATTGTGTATGCTTCCTATTTTGGAGAGGTTTGAGGTGTTCTGAGGATCAGAGAAAATCTCTAAGCCTCCACCTTGTTGGTCACATAACCCTGGAGGAAATGATTTTCCAGATTGTTCAAAGAGAGGAATGTTTCCCTCACTGAAAATATCACAGACTTTTAAAAAAGTGATGAAAAGACACCATAAACCTATTTTCACATCTCTACAATTATGAAAATGGCTCACAGCCACAAAAAAGGTGTGCCTGACAAAACCATGAGAAGAGAACAGGCAGGCATTCACAACCAAACCACCTTGGCAGAGTCATCCAATTGATTGAAAGATACAGAAAATAAAGAACTCCACTCTATCTAGTGTTAGTTGACTTTTAAAAAAATATTCAACTTAATAGAACAAGATGTAGTGGTAAAGTCTTCCCTTGCCTCAATAATAGGACTCCCATGCTTAGAGGAAGCATAGCATAGTGGAGAGAGTAATGGACTTGGGGTCGGGAAGACCAGGGTTCAAATCCTCCCCCAGAAACTCATCGACTGTGTGATGCTGGACAAGTCACTTCAGCTTTCAGTGCCTCTGGTGCATCCTCTCTAATATGGAGGGGTTGTACTCAGTGGTCTCTGAGGCCCCTTCTAGCTCTGAATCCATGATCCCATGTTAATCTATGGGATTTCATGACAGACAGATAAGTTTGCTCAACTTTGACATATTGTCCAAATGATGACCCATATTTGGGTGATTGAGTCCATTGAGTTATAAATGCAGCAATGATGTACTTCCTTTCTCCTCGCTCCCCACCCAGGAATGCTCTTTCTCTGTGAATCTCAGGAGAATCAGCAGGGCACAAAGGGAAAAAGAGAGATGCCAGTGGGGAGCAGAAAAACTGTAGCATGTTACCAAAGACATTTTCAGACATGAAGAAGCGGCATAATTATATCAAAATGAAAATGTGGGGCCAGAAAAGAAGGTTTGCTAGTCTCATTGAAAGATCAAGGGGTGGGCATCCCGTGCTTTGCTTGTCCCCATGAACCATGAAAAGGTGTGGATTTTCTATGTAGGTTTTTGTTTTTACAAAAAGACCTTGATTGCCAAGAATTACCCACGGTGGGAAGGTGTACGTGGGGTATGATCTATACCAGAGGAAGGATGACCCACTCAGATAAGATAATGGCTTAGCTGAAGTTTTGAAATATATAATTATTATCCTCCTTTCAAAGATGAAAATTCTGAGGCTCAGAGAGGACAGAGGGGCAGGAGTTGGATGGATTTTGGAAGGCTTTGGAAGCCAGGCTATGGATTTTGAGGAAGATGTGGGCATGGCATAAATACTATCCAGAGGAAGAGAAATACCCATTGTTAGCCAAAATCAAACCAGGATCGACGTCTTTGCTATCAGCATGTGACAAACATCTATTTGATAAATCCTGTATTCTTATGGAGTTGTACGATGTCAGGAATGAGGAAAAAGTACTTGGGTGAAGGCCAAATCAGGGAGAAATCTAGTGTTAGAAATTTTGATTTTTGTCATTGCAGTATACTACAGACAACTTGGACAGAAATAAGAAATGGTTGAGGAATTTGGGTGAGAGATCACAAGCCTGGCTCAAAGCCATAATGACAGTGGGGGAGGGAAGACTTCAGTTATCCAGACATCTGCTAAAGTTAGCTTTCTGCCAACAGCAGAGTAGCTAATGACATCTTGGCTTGTTCAGTGTTAATTTCTTCATTCAAAAGGTGGAGGAACCAGCAAGGGAAAAATCATATGATGGATAGGACAAGGAAGAACTGGTTACTGGGATGGAAATGATGGGAGGAAGTGACCTTGGGGAAAATGACCCTTTCATCCTAGAGTCTGTGCTAGAGGAA